TCACCTCTCATTCTTCTAAATTCCAGTGAGTAGAGTCCCACTCTATAATCTTTGCTCATAAGACAATCCTTCCACATGGGGATCATTCCAGTTAACCTTCTCAGAGCCGCCTCTAATGAAATGAAATCTTAAACAAGGGGACCAAAATTGCCCTCAGTACTTCAGACATGGTCTCACCAGCACTTTGTACAGTTGCAATACGAGTTCCCTACTTTTGTACTCTAACCCCATTGAAAAGACAGCTAGTGTTCCATTAGCCTTCCTGATTACTTGCTGCATCTGTTTGCTAGTTTTTTGTGTTTTGTGCAAAAGTATTTCATGCTGTAGAACTCTATGACTCTGTAAGAACTCCCAATTTCCTTTGTGCTGCAGCTTTTCTCCATTCAAATAATAATTTCTTTTGAAACACAGAAACCTACCTTCAAGAATAGTTAAAATTACCTTTGGATAATTCTAACTTTTCATCTGCAGTCTCATAACCAACACATAAATTGGAGGACTGCAGCATTACTTAATAGCAAATGGATGTATTTCAGATGCCAGCTTTCATTATAAACAGGGATGTTGGAATTTATGTTGAAAAGATTTATAGCAAGGACAGAAAGTATGGCTTTTAAATGAGGATGAATCACCCCCATCTGCACTAATCTGATTATCTCCCTTAGCTTCTAACTCTACCTAACCTGAACACATCATATGGTCTCAGCTCAGTGTGTGTAAAAGTTCAGGTCATCAACATGTAAAAAGACAACTTCTCATACCGACACACGACACACGCCAGTCCCATTTCCATGGCAAAGTCCTCTGCGCTCTCAAAGCCAGGTAGGTCAGGCATTGGCAGCTCCTTGCTGGATTGAACAGTAATGGGAGAGGATCGATTCTCTGCTTTCTCCAATCTGGCTTTTTTCTGGGGGTCAACTCCCTCCAAAGGATCTAGTTTAACCTTTCAAAAATTGGAAAGATCCATGCGGTTAACTAATCAGTCAATCATTATGAATTAAATTATAAGATAAAGAACAGTGCCTCAAATTTTATATTCCTTGTTTTTGGGCTAAGTACAGTGCACAGAATTTAAGATGAACCTGATCTTTTGCTTTTCAGTGAGTTGAAGACAACTTTCTTGTAGACAAAATTGGATATTTTGCTGTTCACATGCAAAATTTCAGTCATGTTGTTCCAAATCATGATTATTTATAATTCACTGTCAACAGCATGAACTCTCTTGTACTGTGAATGGTTTCTATATAGAAACATCTATTTGCAGTTGCACAACAAATTTAGCCAGAAACTCCTAACCTTTTCACCAGGTCTCTTTTCAGCTTCCTTCTTGGTTTTCTCATTGGAACTGGATTTACCATTGTTGCCCAGTGAAAGAGATGAAGACACTTTGGATTCCTGCTTTGTTGAACTGGATTTGATGCTGGCAGTCACCTTGGGTGTTTCAATGTCCTAGGCAAGGAACATAAAACAATGTACGGAACTATGGTAAATCACTCAGTCACAACAACAACTAGTACTTATATACAGCCTTTCACTTAATGAAATATGCCATGGCTCCCCATAGAAACATTATCAAATATAATTTGACACAGAGCCAGAAAGGGAGATATTAGGATGCTTGACCAATAGCTTGGCAAATGGGGTAGGTCAGGGCTTTGCAAACAGCAGGATCATGAGACAAGATTTGCCGTCAACGGTGCGCTGACAGAATGTGAATAGCTGCAAGGGCCCTTCACTCAGTTTAATTGTATGTATGTGTTAACAGCCAGATCTTTGAGGTGTGCTGGTACGAAGAAGAAAGAAGAATAAAAAAAGCCCGTGTGTTTTGTTTTAAAACACTGCCATTAAAACAACTCCCACCACACTGAAATTCTTCACCCCCAAACTCTCCTCACCACCATTACACCCACTCAGTAGCTGAAAGACCTACTTTCCACAAGGTCACAATGTCTGAAGCATTAAAATAGTGGGTAACAGCAGGAAAACGTTTGGAGAGCACTGGAGTAGGGTTTTAAAGAAGGTCTTAAAAGGAAACAAGAAAGTGAGAGAAGCGGAGAGAGTTGAGGAAGGAATTCCAGAACTTAAGACCTTGACAGCTGAATGTATGGTTAACAATGGAGAAGTAATTAACATTGGGTGAATGGAGTTGAAGTAGAGATTAGCTGACATCTCATTAAATGGCAGAACATAGACAGGAAGATAATAAATATTTGCTGGTCACTTATCAAAGATACAGGAGTAATGAATGAGCTACACCCTCTGAAACAACTTACTCTGTTGTGCCTTTAAGACTCCATATTCAGGATCACACAATGAAATTGCTGGTCTGCAAGTTCTTTATTAAGAGAGCCTTACAACTTGGAGATATGCTGCATAAGGCACCAGCAGTTACAATAAGACAGGGAGAATTTAGGCTTTATTTTTCCAGTTTGTCACAGCAGAGAAAAGAAATTGGTCAGACAGGGAAGCCACTGTAAATTGTTCCAAAGTTACAACAGATCATCCTTTCAAAAAATATCAAGTCAGAATTTGCATTTATATAGCAAATTATACATCCTCAGGATGCCTCAAAGTGTAGTCATTGTTCATGTGTAAACCAGTTTACAGAACACCACTACTTGCAAGCTCCCCTCCAAGTCACACACCATCCTGACTTGGAATTTTGTGGCCATTCCACTCAATCCCTGGGTCAAAATTCTGTAACTACCTTTCCTGTAACAGTCTTGTGGGTGCATCACAGACCAAGAACTGTAGTAGTTCATAAAGACAGCTCACAATCAATTTCTCCATTGCAATTAGGGATGCTGGGCCAACCTGTTACACCCATATCCCATGAACAAAGAAAGATAAATGCCACAGCCAACTCGATAGCATATATATAGCATTATCATGTTGCAGAGTTTGTGAGAAAAAGTGCCATTCATCTGTTTTTGGCAGCGGTGATTGAAAAGGAATGTGGCAAGAATGCTGCTCCTCTTAAAAGGGTATTCTGCATTCATCTGGACAGGCAAACATGGACTCAGTTTAAATTCTCATCCAAAGATAAGATCCCACCAACAGTGAGGAGTCCCTCAGTATTGAACTGCAATGCCAGCTTGACCATGTTTTCGGGTCCTAGAGTGGCAGTCGAATCTAGAACTGTTGGCCTCAGAACTAACAGTACTACCTTCCAAGATAAACTAACACAGATATATTTTAGAAAGATTCACCAGTGAATCATCTTAGCTTATTTTAAAAATAATCAGAAGGTTATCACAGTGTATTCTCTCATATTCACACTTTAGAGTTTGAAGCAACACCACAATGAGTGACTGGATGCAATTTTGCATTATAATATTTCCAAACAGAGCAGATTCCTGAACTCATCTCTGCTCCTGGGATTGGGAAGAATTATACTGCACAACATGGAAGCAAACAAAGATCTGAAGACATCTCTTGGAAGCTGACCTTGCAACAGCATTGCCAGTGTTTGGGAGCATGCTAACTACCTATCCTCTTGGATAAATTTAATATGCAAGAGTATCAAAAACCAAATTTGAAATAAACATTTTATAGGTATCTACATTGAATCTCATGTCTATACAGTGATCTTCTGGAAGTCATCATACAAATAATCACATCAAAGTGAATGTGGTTTTTGATGATGCGATTAGGTTTTATCTTAGAGAGGCAGATAAAACTGTAAGGGTCATGTTTCAAGATATCTTTTCTGGCAATGTTTCACATATGATCATTATACAACATATATGCTGAGAAATACGATAACCAGTATTTTCAATGAATAAATGCTCATAATTTACATTCAATTCAGTATTTGGTTTCCAGTACCATCCCATTTGTACCCATAACAAACCACTCTAAACTTTGTTCAGCCAAGAACCTGCACTTAGTTTTCTACCATTGTTCTAGCTACTAGGTGATCTCAGTAATGATGTATTCTGCTTTGCTGCAAACTATAAGAAGATTGAGTAGATTCATTTCTCTGCTCTACATGAGAGTAGATTAGATACTCTCAGTTAGGAAGGCACTATTTAGACCTTCACTTTCTCAATAATATGTTAAAAGATCAACTTTTTTATTTCTCTCCCTATCATTCTTCCCCTCATGCTTAACTTCCCTCTTCACTTTTTTTTGTATAACTTTGCAGATTATCTCTCATGCTTTTCTCACAAATTATGCATTCATATCCAAATACTTGATACAGTCACCAAGTAATTAACTGAACAGTGGAAGTGCTGAGATCACTTCATAAGGGGAGCATCACTTAAACAAAACCCACTCCTAGACAGTTACAGCACCAAATGAAGCCCATTTGCTGGAGAGATCCAAAACCTACTGCTCTGATGGAAGTTCACCAACTTGAAATATTAAATTTCTTTTTCTCTCTTTGCAGCTACTACCTGATGTGCTGAATATTCTCAGGAAAAAAACATTTATTATTGCACTGTGCAGCCCTCTCTTCATAGGACTGTATTTAATTCCCTGCAAGAATGTAGCAACTTCTGTCTCATTCATTGCTTCAAACATTGTGTTCCAATAATAAAGTCTACAAAAATAAGCTCCAGCTCCTCTCTGACTCTCTTCATGTCCATTTTAAATCAGCGACTTCCCTATACCCTACTACCTCATTCAAATAAACCCTTTAAAAGTATTACTTTAAATACGAGGAAACTGTACCTTTTGTGCCTGTCGAAAGCTAGAATCACCGCCTCTAGCCAAGGTCTCATCTAGCAGCGCTTTCAGTTTCTCTGCTGAGTCTTTGCTTTTTGAATGGAGATAACCCAAGGCTTTGAGGAAGAGTGGGTCCAGCTCTAGGTTGGGAACTGCCATGTCCTACAAATGTGAAAGAATATATAGAATACATATAATAATTACAGGTTAGTTTCAGTACTCCAACCTCAGGAAGCTTCTCATATCAGCACAGTAGCAACTCAGTATCTGCCTGGCATTACTTCCGGTTCCACATTTATATTCGTCCCCGACTTTTGGTCCTAGCAACGGGTAACATCCGGTCCGTCTGTTTAATGCATCCCCTCCAGCACCCGGCATTGATGAGCCGAGTGGGTTGCAGGTAATTGGGTTTTTGTGTGTATGTGGGGTGGGGATGATGGAATACTGGTATTTATAAAAATCTCTTCAGTTGTGCTCGTTTTTATTTCCTCCCCGTGTTTTGTCTTCACGACAAGATCCAGGTTTCCAGCTTCAGGACGCCGCCTTATTCGCTGTCCTTCAGTCAAAGCCTCCATCAGTTGCTGGGCTGAGGAAATATTCCATTATGGAAAAAACTCAGCATCTGTGGAGAGAGAAACAGGGTTAACGACTCGAGTCCGCTATGACCCCTTTTCAGAAGCCTTAACCATATGTTTCTCTCTCCACGGATGCTGCCAGACCGGCTGAGCTTCCCCAGCATTCTCTGTGTTTGTTTCACATTTCCAGCGTCCGCTGCATTTTGCTTTTATTCAAATGTTCCAGTTTATCGTCAGGCAGCCCGTGTTGGCAAACCTCTTCCAACAAAACAGGACTTGGAATTAGTGAAGTACATAGAAACACAGAAGCTTAGAAAATAGGTGCAGGAGTACAGTAGGCCATTCGGCCCTTTCAGCCTGCATCACCATTCAATATGGTCATGGCTGATCATGCAATCTCAGTATCCCATTCCTGCTTTCTCTGCGCACCCCTTGATCCCTTTAGCAGCAAGGGCCACGTCCAGCTTGCTCTTGAATATATCTAATGCACTGGCTTCAATGGCTTCCGGTGGGAAAGAATTCCACAGGTTTGCAACTCTCTGAGTGATGAAATTCTTCCTCGTCTCAATCCTGAATGGCTTACCCCTTATTCTTAGACTGTGGCTCCTAGTTCTGGACTTCCCCAACATTGGGGACATTCTTCCCATTCTTGCCTGTCCAGTCCCATCAGGATTTTATATGTTTCTGTGAGATTCCTCCTCATTCTTCTAAATTCCAGCAAGTACAAGCCTAGTCGATCCAGTCTTTCCTCCTATGTCAGTCCTGCCATCCCGGGAACCTTCACTGGATTCCCTCAATAGCAAGAATGTCCATCTTCAGACAAGGAGACTAAAACTCAAGGTGTGGCCTCACCAAGGTCCTGTATAACTGCAGGAAGACATCCTTACTCTGATACTCAAATTCTTTCGTTATGAAGCCCAGCATGCCATTAGCTTTCCTCACTGCCTGCTGCACCTGCATGCCAACCTTCAGTGACTGTTCCACCATGACACCCAGGTCTTAGTGCACCTCCCCTTTTCCTAAACTGCTACCATTCAGATAATAATCTGCCTTCCTGCTTTTGCGACCAAAGTGGATAACCTCACATTTATCCACATTATATTGCATTTTCCAAGTATTTTGCAGCAACTCTGTTAGATCTTTTTTTCAATCTAAGGCAGCAGCATATCATTTCTTTCCTGAATCAGAAATTTAATGTTGCACAAAACAGTTGGCCTGAAGTGTTTAACTCTGTAGCCTTACTATAGTTCTGCTTACCAGATGAGTTGAGTTAGTCTGCCAGGTAGTTGTTCTAAGCTGTTGGCCTTACCCTTACAATTGACAACCGTATAACCTGGGTTAGCCTAATTATTCTTAGACGATACTCTTGTCTTCTATCTATGTAGCTATGTAATAAACACTTCTTGTTACTCAACACTGAGCCATTTCTGCCAAGACGTTTTGTGATAATTCTTCACCACTTCTTATTAATAAGTCCCCAGAGTAGTATTATTGAGGGTTTAGTGGCAGGATATTTATTTGATTTGATTTATTATAGTCACGTATACCTAAGTACAATGAAAAGCTTTTGTTTGTGAGCAGTACGGGCAGATCATAGAGTGTTTAGACAGAGTGTGGCATACAGGTTACGCTACAAATCTACTGAAAGGAGAGCAGAGCAGAACCAGGAGCAGCTGCTGCATGCCCTACAACATACAGCGCCCTTTCATGGCCTCAGGATAACCAAAGAGCTTCATAGCCAATGAAGTCCATTTGAAGTTGAGTCTCTGTTGTAGTTGAATGCAATGGGAATTGGTGACGGCAATTTCTACAAAGGAAGTTCCCACAAACAGCTGCAAGATAATGACCAGATTGTTTCTTATGCTAAGGGTTCAGGGTGGCCACCATCTCTTGTTCTCCTTTGGTTTTCTCAATTCCTTGGAATCAGTTATATCTACCTTAGAGGCTATTCCAAAATCACCATCTCCTGTACTGAACTTTCAGCTTGGATAATGATAATATCTTAGTAGTATATCTCTAAAGTATGACTGGAACTCTCAAACTTTGAACTTGCATGTAAGAGTGCTGGTATTGAGCCAAAGCTGCCATTGTGAGTAACCTTCAGTTTTGATAGGCTTCAAACAAGTTTTGCTTTAAAAATTTCTTATTACTGATCCTGATTTTTCCCTTGTGAAGGTGGTTGAACAGCTACCTTGAACTTCTGGTGTCAAGTACATTCACAATCGTTTTAGGAAGGGAGTTCCAGAATTTTGACCAATGACAGTGAAGGAACAGTAATACAGTTCCAAGTCTGTACGTGAGACATTAAGATGAGAATTTAGTGTTAGTTAAGTTGCAAATGCACTACGTAAGTGCAAGTTTAATTAATATTTAACCCATGAATACTATTTCAGGAGATTCAGTGTCAAGTTGAAGAATATACATGCTAACTGCCATGCAGGAGCCTTTTTTTTAAGTATATTCAGAATAATAATTATAATTATACGATCAGTTCATTGTCTAATTTGACTAAAGGGTCTGTTTCAATGCTCTATGACTCTAATAGTGCCTTTGCTATGTTTCATGGGGGCCCATGTGTCAATTCTTTCACAATGCCCTTATGGCTATCTGGCCTCTTCCTAAACAAAAAAGTGCTATATATTTTTTTATGAACATTCACTCTCTTTTAACATTTTGTGTATTTTGTTTAAAAGCATGTGACAGTTATTTTTGATCTTCCCTTTTTTCCTTTCATTTGCCTGAAATTCTAGTTTGATTTTAGCTTTTGTCAAGCTGGAAAGTAGTAAGCTATTTCAATTTCAATTATTTCAATTTCTTTCAACTCTTCCTGTTTCATTTCCCTCGAAGACCCAGCTGAAAAATTAAATTATCGCTTTTCAGTTGCTGCATTTTTGACTCCTTTGATTGTGACAGAAAGAAACATTTAATAGCATACCTTTTATTAAAAAAATGCAAATCAATTTGTAGCATCTATAACTGAATTCTTAATGAGCTGCTGTTCACCTCTCTATAGGTAATTGTGAACATGAAGAACAATTGCATGCATGAAGCGTGTCTGTACCTGGAACTGTGCAACCACACAGAGGACAAGGTCTTTCCTCTCCATACATCCATTGTTTTATTTTTAATGTCCTACTGTGAATCCACATCAATTAAAGTGTTCCTGGTGCCTAACGAAGACAGTACTAGCAATCTCTTGTGGATGAAAGGAGCACCAACCAACATTCCTATCAATATCCTTTCCCAGCAGGAACTGCCTCCTGTGGTTAAGAGTTGTCGTCTGCCTGCTCTGGTGGAAAAGGATGGGAATTTTTGTCGAGCTGGTCTTGCTGTGGTACTGAGACATATTATATGGAGAACCTGTGAAACAGACTGCAACAGGAAAGATGTTTCAGAGCTGCTTGGCTTCAAAAAGACCTGTTTGAAGGCCTGTGCTGAGGTGAGTAGGAACAGGAAAAGGCTATTCAGCTCCTCAGATATATTCCATCATTCAATTCGATCTGTACCTGAACTTACTCAACTTTGTTCCATATTTCTTATTAATTTTGCTTCACAAGATCTATTGATTTCAGCCATGAACGTTCTTATTGTCTCAGCATCTATAGCTTTTTGAAGGAGTAGGTTCCAGTTTTCTGGTTCCTTTGTTTAGGGGAAGAAAGTATATGTTGACTTCACTCCTAAACACCTAGCTCTTATTTTACGATTGTGTTTACGATAGATTATTTGTATTTACCCTATCAAATCCCATCATCATTTTGATAACCTCTGCTCACTTCATATAATTTCTGTTGTGTCTGAACAAAGTCCCTTTCGTGGGAATTTCTGATTTTTCTCATACTATGTCAGACCTCTTGCAGAGCAATGCAGGTTAGTTTGCTGATTTACGATTAGACGTTCTGGCCTCTCATAAAGGGGGTTGTTGGCCTCACTGCTTTTTCTCACTTTGTTTTTGGGATGTGGGCATCGCTGGCTTTGTCAGCATTTATTACCAATCTCTAACTGCTCTTGAACTGAGTGACTTGTAAGGCCATTTCAGAGAGCAGTTAAGTTTCTATCTTATTTCATATACTTTGCATTTGTTTGAATACCAAGAGGGTTTTTGTAACATAAGCTGCTTTGGAAGTGGTTGGGGAAGAGCCTCATTGCATCGTTCAAGAGAAAAATGGTTAAAGGCTGGAAATAGAGAAAGGTGCATGGCAGTGAGGAGTCATTGGCATTTTGTTTTTGATTGGCCTAGCAAAGAGTTGACACAGGTGCATAGGTCCGTGTGGCTTCTTCTGAACTGTAAATTGGCGTGCTCCTGTGGAATTATGATGCTTAATGTTAACTAGACAAACATGTTGCACACGCCAAGATGCATAAATGACAATTAGATGAATGATCAGTTAATCTGTTTTTGCTGATGTTGACCGAAGAGAAGGGATGTTGACCAGACGAACTCTCTACTCTTCAAATAGTATTACTATGACTGTAACATCTTCCTGAACCACTGAAACAGTCAGCTCCCTTGTTCAGTTGTCATCTGAGGTGTGGCACCTGTAAATCATGCACCAGTTCCTTTGTCCTGCCCAAATTTAAAGCACTCATTTGCTGGATTGGGATTTGAACCCACAAAACTATGATTCGGAAGAGATCCTGAACATGAGCGCGTTTTCTTGACGCAAACTAGCTTTTCTTCCTTTTGTCATTGTGAAGTTGTCTTTGGGATTTTTTTTGGTCTGCCACGATACCTTTATAAACTGCTGCACTGAATTAAAATGATAAGAGAGGACTTTAAAGAGAAAGTGAGTTTCTGGTTGGAATCTGGTCTAGAGCTTAATGCTTGTACTAACTCTGTTACTTATTAGTACAGCTCAGAATGTTGATAACCATGGTTTGATTCCGATCCAGTGATCAGAGATATAGTGAGAAAATAGTTTTCAATTGGAAAGTGGGATCTTTTTTGAAAAGAAGTTTGTTAAATTAACCACTTGTTCATCAAAACCTATCCAGTGATAGCATGGGTGTTAACAATGAGTTCAAATCAACAGTGACCTTGCGAAACTTCTTAACTGAAATTCAATCTTTATTATTCTTGACCAGTTTTGCTTAATTTAATGAACCAGTTTGTGGAAAGACAGGGCACAGGGTTATCTGTCAGAAGCCCGGATCTGTGTAAAATCCGCCTGAAGCAAGAAACTCTAGAAGTGAGGCAACAACAATCAGTTTGCATTTATATAGTGCCATTGAAGCAGTAATACTTCCCCAGACACTTTAGAGGAATGTTATCAAACAGAATTGTACAAGCAACCAAAGACTTTGTTACTGAGGTAGGTCTTAAGGAATGTCAAGTAAGAAGAAAGAGGGAGTGGGAGAGGTGGAAGGGAAAAGGGTGGGAATTCAGAACCCGGGGCCTAGGAAGCTAAAGGTCACCAAAAATAGGCAAGATATATCTAGGCTCCACAAGGAGGTAAAATGAAAGAAACACCAAACTGTAGGAATTGTAGGTCTATAAGAGGAAATTGTAGAGATAGGAAATTAAGCAAGAAATACCAGTGAATCAAGAAAGATGGTTATGTACTTATATGGCATTTTATTTGCATTCTGCCGAAATAATTAAACACTAGACATAAAGTGAATTACTTTTGATGTGCAGTGATTGTTATTCACAAAGGTGATTTTCACCAGTAAGATTCTGCAAATATTTGTGAAACAAGTTAGTGGCTAACCTGCTTTTAATGTTGATTTTGGGGTCAAATGGCAGCGAGCAGTCTGCTTTTTTTCAAATATAGCAGAGAATGTTTAACATCCAATTGACAGAAAAAATTGGAGATCAAGTTTATTTTTAGGAATTTAATCACTTGTTTCCTTATGATTATGTATGAAAATCATAAAATAACTTGAGTAAACAATGTTAGATTTTGGAGTTTAAGCCTCCTCATACTGTAAATTTCTGTTCTGCATGACATGGTTCTTTGTGCTATTTATAGTGCTATTTATAATTGATGATTCATTTTTAGAAGACAGTGTAAGATCTGTTGAATGGAATGAATCTCAGTCAACTTAATCAGATGTTACTGGAAGCAATCCAGCTTAAAATAGTCTATAAAAAATACTTGGAAGCAATTTTCTCCTCCTCACCCTATTTTGCTACCATATTTGGTGATTCCTAGTATAAAATTGCATCTTGTGCCATTGTTCTGTCATCAGGCTTTTGAAGGCGTATTGTGTTTGACCCTTGCATTTCTTTTATTACCAGTCAGCTGAGGAATTATAATTACAGATAGGCGCTGTTAACTGTTTTGCCATCTTTTAGTTTTACCAGTCCATCTCCTATAAGGTTGCACATGGGCGGCGAAGACCAACTTAATTATCAGGTGAAGCAGCGTGATATACCAGGGAAGTTGGGCATAGTTCAGTACCCATATTAAAGTTGTGCTTTAATTTAACTTTTATTTCCACTTTAAATTTAAATATTTTTAACTGCTTTTGTTTACTTATTGTACTGAAATTGAAATCACCTGTTAGTGCTACTTCAACAGCTCTATCACTGGCAAGACAGTGTAAGAAAGATCACTGTGACAAGTTTACATAAGCAGAGGTAATGTAGCCACCTCAGGGGTCTATGGTTGTAAACTTCAATGTTCCTCTCTAACAAGAGAGAATCTAACCATCTCTTTTTGACATTCAATGGTATTACCATCACTGAATCTCCCATTATCAACATCCTGTGGTTACCATTGACCAGAAGCTGAACTGGACTAGCTCTATAAATAATGTGGCTACAAGAGGAGGTCAGAGGCTATGATTCCTGTAGTGAGTAACTTACCTTCTGATTTCCCCAAAGTCTGTCCACCTTCTGAAAGGTGCAAGTCAGAAGTGTGATGGCATACTCTCCACTTGTCTGGATGACTTCAACTCCAAGAACACTGAAGAAGCTTGACACCACCCAGGATAATGCAACCCACTTGAATTGTACCATATCCACCAACATTCAGTCCCTGGTCCACTGACGCTCAGTAGCAGCAGCGTGTACCATCTACAAGATGCATTGCAGAAATTTACCAATGCTCCTTAAATAGTACTTTCCAATTCAAAGACCACTGCCATCTAGAACGACAAGGGAAGTTCCCCTCCCAAGAGTCACGATGTGAGAAAAAGAAAGCTTTAGGTTGAGTTCACTTGAAGAAACTTATTCTTTGAACCAAAAGAAGTTATGTCTTGCTGTTAGATTAAGATGCTACAGGATTGTATCATCCCCCCACCATTAGTTATTTTGAATACCTTGCTTCATATAACCTTACTACAAGCAAAGCAAGTATTTTGTCCTAGATTTTGTACATTTAAAGACAAGCGGATGGCAACAGGTGTGAACAACTCTGTTAATGTATTAACAGTTTACGTTAGAGGAAAGTTCTGTCAACCTGTTCCTTTGTAATTTCTGTTCTCTGCCCAGTGGCAGATCAAACCCTTAGTGCCGCAACCACCACCTTGTGTAGGGTAGGAAGATGGGTCCCAAATTTAGTTAGAGTGGGGATTGACACTTTCCCCTGTCAATGTTGTATCTGGCACTGTGGGTAGTGATGATAGAAGCTACAACTTCCTTTCAATCCCATGGCTGACCAGGAAGTATGCCTGCTTTTAATACCTGTCTTGCAGTGTTGCAAGTTTACTGTGTGTTGAAAAGATTTGCAGTTGACACATGACCCTTTTGACTGTGTTATGAATGCACATTCCTTGGTCATCAGTGCTGGAATGGGACCTGAATCCTGAACTCCGGGCTCAGAGCTGGAATGCTACCTGCTGCACCATAAGACTTGCACCAATTGTAACTTCATAGATCCACAACGATAACAGGGGTTACCTTTTTGTAAATTTGTCATGCTATAATTATAGCTTATGACCACTGGAAGTGCTGCAATGTGACAAAGAAAATTGTTATAAATACAGACATAAATATTTCCGTGGAAAAATAAAATTAAAGGCAGAATTTTAACGCCGGATTGATCGATATGCTAACTGGTCCAACTGTCCCCATTTCACCTGAAAGCTTTGATTCCTGGAATACAACTCCATGGGATAAGGTTACGTATATCTTAATGACTGTAATTGCTTGCAGTGTTGCAAGTTTTTCTTGAAATCTAGTGTAGGTTTGATTTTTTTTTTAAAATTTAACCTTTTTTTTCTCATTAACCTGTTCAGAGATGTTACTATACTCCTCTCGAGCAGGTGGGACTTGAACCTAGGTATCTTGATCCAGGGGTTAGGGACATTACACCACAAGAGGGCCCCTTAGCACAAGTTTGATAAATTATGCATTTAACAGGAATAATGTGTGTTTCTATATCTGACAGGTGAGCCAGTGGACCAGGCTGTGTGAAATTAGCATTCCGCTGGCTGTGGAAGGCTTCCTGAAAAATTTAAGTGACCAGAGAGTAACTATTCCACCTGAGATACTACACCTTGAGCACAAACTGAGGGAACCTGTGCGAGTTCATAATGATGACAAGATTCGTCGGCAGAAGTTGCAGCTATTATCCAAGGAAAGTAATGAGGTGTCCGTTGAAAATGGATCGAAAAGATCACTGGAATTTTACTCTGATGGAAGGGATGACACACCACGAGAAAGGAAGAAGGAAAATAAGGATACTGAGTTGGGCAGCCTGGAACTGAAGACAGCTCTTTCTAAATTAACTATGGAACAAGTACCAGCTGTGACCAACAGGGAGCAGTCCTGCATTAGGAAAGTGAAGACAACTGATCTTCCACCATTGGAACATATCTTTGCTGAGGGGCTTTATTTCACTCTCACAGACGTGGTCTTGCTGCCTTGTCTTCACTACTTTTTTGTAAGTTGTTAATTTTTGAATTGTTCATTGATTTTTTTTTCTGTTAAACTTGAATTCGGTGTTAATTTTGATTTTGTCTTCTTGTAGAAAAGGTTCATATTGACTTTCTACTGTACAGCCTGTGCTGGCATTATTTAAAAGCTGGATTTAAAATTAATTTCATAAAAAAGATGAAATCACCACTTTAAAATATTTTTTGACTTTATTTTTTAGAAAAAGCAATTTGTTTGTAATATGCTGAACTGTAATTGTTCCTCAAGTTATATGGACTATGAAAAGCTTTATTTTCAAAGTTTAGGCTATTTTGGCATTGTTTTGCATTTGCAGTCTTGCTTTTATATCTGACTGTTCTTCTGGCCTATGGCTCTATAGAAACTGTAGTAGGCCATTCATTCCCTTGAGCCAGATTGCCATTCAGTTCAGTCATCTGATCTGTACCTGAGTTCCAGTTATCCATCTTTTATGCTCAATTCCCTGATAACCTTGCCTGACGCAAATCTGGCAAACACAGTCTTGAAAATTTCAACTAAGGTTTGCAGATTTTCACTTATGTTATAAAATGCTTCCTGGTTTCATTCCTGAATGATATAGTGTTACCTTGAAAGATTGTGCGACCTTGGTTCGGGATTCCTTCAAACACAGGAAATTATCCTTTGTTGCTGTGACAAAGTGAGTGTTTCTTATGTGTGAGTAAAACCGAACATTTCATCAGATTGACCTGGGGAGAAGTTGAGAGGAGTGAGTGTGTCACAGTTGAGGTTAATGCAGTTCTCACCTAATAAATCTATACATGTGGATGAAATAACTCCACAGAGGCTGGTATCCTGTCACCAAATCACCCTTTATTTATGCGTGCATAGTACATGACACTGACCAAGTTAGCTCAGAGCCAGCTCCTAGAGTGAGCAGAACCCCTGATGCTCCTGTTTATATCTGTCAGCCAGGACTCCCTGATCGGACCAGGTTAGCAGACCCAATCAGAGAACTCATACTCTATGAGATCCCACTGGCTGACATCATTCCACTCACTGTACTGGAATTTTCAATAGCAGCAGGAATCAGAAGTAGGCCCATCTCAAGGCAATGTAACCGGTCTTGGATCTAATGCTGCTATCTTTGTCCAGTTCAGGGAAAACTAGGCTCAAACCTGGAAGCTGCTCAGTCTAAATTGTTCAGTGTCACACTGGGTGGCATATTCGCTTACTTTGATGCACTGAATGTTTTGCTAGGGTTCTTCTGATCTTTGTGCTGCAGAGATCGTTACATCGTTGTCAGAAGCCTTCTTCAATATCAGTGGTGAATATGTTGGTTTCTTTGCTGTTGATTGCGGGGATTCCAAGTCTTTGTCTTTTCTGTCAGAGTAAAAACGCAAACAGTTTCTCAGTCTTTTTGCCAGGGTTGGGGAATCCAAAACTAGAGGGCATAGGCTTAAGGTGAGAGGGGAAAGATTTAAAGGGACCTAAATGGTAACTTTTTCATGCAGAGGGTGGTGTGTGTATGTAATAAGCCACCAGAGGAAGTGGTGGAGGCTGGTACAATTACAATATTTCAAAGGCAAATGGGACAACATTTATTTAGGATATTTGTCGGCATTTGTCGACCAAGCGGTCTGTTTCCATGCTCTATATCTCTGACTCCATGAAGACATCAACATAAACGAATCCATGAGCACTGTTTGGCCTCATGAGGTCCTTTCTCCGTTCTGACCTTCGTGCTTCTTGAGTTTACCTGGATCTCCATACAAATCATGGGGATAATAGTTATCCTGCCTATATGTGTATCATCATGTATCTGATTTGCATAGAAAACAATTTTAGCCCTTGGGAGTTTCTAAGCCACCATCTTCTTCATTCACTTCCTCCACCAATAAACAGTGGCAGCAGTGTGTACCATCTACAAGATACACACCTGCAACTCTTCAAGCCCTCTTCAACAGCAGCTTGCAAATTTGTGACTTCTATTACCAATAAGTTCAAGGGTAACAAATGTGTGGAAACACAACCTGTGTTTCCCTCCAAGTTACACACTATCCTGAGTTGGACCTGTATCACCATGCCTTCACTGTAAATTTTGGAACTGACTTCTTAACAGCACTGTGGGTTTATCTACACCACATGGACTGCAGTGATTCAAGAAAGCAGATCACACTTACTGCTTCTCAAGGGCAATTGGTAATGAACAACAAATGTGCCATTGCTAGTAAAGTCTAAATTCTATGAAAGAATCTCATAAAATTCCTGAGATTTGATTACAGAATCTCAGCTGACAATTTCTGAGGTAGACTGACAGTTCTACTTTTGAATGAAATGATAAATTGAGGGCCTAAATGCTGTTCTCAGGTGGATGAAAAAATCCTGTGAAGGCTGCTCATGTTTAATTGAACTTATTCTGTATATTGGTGTGGCCAATGAAGCATCAACATCACGATCCTTTAGAAAGTTGGCTGTGTAAAACTGGAAATTGTATGAGCATTTAGTTTGGTTTGAAGATTTTTAATATTTAGCTTACAAGCTCAGCAGATTTTCAGTTGCATGTCCCTTTTTCACTACTACTCACTTAGTTCCCTGATAAACCACCTCTGAGGTGGTTGCCATGCTCTTTATTTAATGATTGTTAGAATGTACAGAAGATCCTGTGATTTCACTGAGTGCAAGATTTGCTTTACTGTAATAAGAATGTCAGTTGTGGCTCACTTTTTCTATCTGACTCAGTTCTGAAGAAGAGTCATCCTGAACTCAAAATGTTAATTTAGTCTCTTTCTTCATAGATGCTGCCGGACCTGCTGAGTTTCTCCAGCATTCGCTGTTTGTTGTCTGATTATTTTCTGTATGTGGGAACTTGCTGTGTGCAAATTGTCTGCCATGTTTCCTATGATAGCGGCTACATTTCAAAGTATTTATTTGGCTGTATTGTGCTGAGGATGTACTGAGTTTCTGAAAGGTACTAGATAAATACAAGTGTTTTTATTGTGCCCAAAACAAAACTCATAATGGTGATGTGGTTCTCATTGGAAAACAAAGGTTGCCCAAAGGCTTAAAACTTATAGTAGTTGTACAGTAACTGACATTCCTGTTTGTTGACATCTAGTTTTTGTCCTTTCTATCAATTTAATGAATAAGTATTTTTGTGTCCACGTATGAAATCGTAATGCCCTTTATTAGCTGGGAACTAACTAAACAGACATTACATGAGAAAATATTTTGTATGAGTTCGCTTTGAAGGAGCTGCAAAAAATGCACATTATTTCTGTTCAAATTGTTAATTTTGAAGTTTGATTCTCAGTTTAGTCCTTTTAGTGGAAACAACATAAATGTTTAAGTTCATTTCAAGTCACTATATTTTGAGCCCCCCTTGAAGCCTGCTCTCTCATTTCTCGGAACCAGTGTAGATTAATTAGGATAGTCTCCTCATTAAATCCCTTGCACGCAATGTGTTTTAATAGGTTTGGCACACTGGTAGGCTGTGGTAGTTGTTCTACTCCAGATAGGAAGGCAGTAGAAGATAGAACCAGGGCCTAGATCTTTACACACTTACAAGCTTTCATTTATGGAGACATTTTAAAATTGTGCTCCTTCAAACCAAGCAACCTTAGTTTCAACCTGCTCCTATTTGCTCTTAATCAACATGTTCGGACATATTTCCATAACAGGTCAGACTTGAATTTGACCTAGAGGTAGGGACACTACTGCAGGAACCACTTTCTACTCCCAATTTATAGGTGCAGAAGTGAATCCCAAATTAATTAGCCCCGTATACAATTAAATACTTAATTAACATACAATTTGCACACACAAACACCCAAGCTGCTAAAAATGTCACTCGACTAATAATCCAGAACCTACAGGCAAATGTTATGGGAACATGGGTTCAATTCCCACTGTGGCAGATGGTGAAGTTTAAGAAGGACTCATGATACTGTAATAGTGTCTGTACATCTGTGCCAGAAGGTCTGGGTTCAAGTCCTACCTGTCAAGGAGATGTATTATAAGATGTGCCAACGAGCTAATTTAAAGGAAAAATCCTGAGTTTGGAAATGCTCCTGTTGCTTGTTACTACTTTCACATTCCATACCATTGCTAAAAATGTAAATTTGAATTCCAATACCGTTTGGGTGCAGGATTCCTGTTTATTGAGCTGGGTGATCTGGAGCACATTACGTACTTATGTAATTGCTGGGAAAATGTATAGAGCTCCATGGGGAAGTGTACTGGTTATCTCTATGCAGGTTGTGAGGTTTTTGCATATGTGCTTGGATCCTCTACACAACACCCATTCCATACCTTTCTCAGAAGTTGAAACCTAACCAAAACATTTTATACCAAATTAATGTTTTTGATCTCCAAAGTCAGTCTTTCAAAGTGAACATTGTGCTACAGGTTTACTTAGTTCCATATGGCATTGAGAGGCCTTCCATTGCTGTTGTTGCCTGGCATCTGATTTTTCCCAGCCCATGCAGTGCTCCTGCATTGCAGTGTGGATATCCAAAAAAATGAGTTGACCTCATCTTATCATTGCAAAATTAGCCATCCTTTTTTGATACAGCTTGTTGTGGATTCTGAACTAGCTGAATGTTTACACACCCTGGAGTTTCTATTTGAAAATTCTGAATATGGCTTGCAAATCTAACTACAGTGGAGTAAAATGCATACAGAAAGATTAACTCATGTAGATTAAAGTCATGTGGACTAAAATTAAAAGTTTAGCCCTTCCTTAAAGGTCTTCAACCTGATCTTTAGTAAATGTATAAAAAGATATTTTTGTGACTATGTGGCCTTTGGTTGTGGTTTGAGGACTGGGTGAGAAATTGCAGCTGTCATACAAATACTGGAAAATAAGAAGGAATGTGTAGAATAATTAGATGATCCTTTTAGGGAAACGTACTCTGTATTAGAGGACTATTTACTGCACCTGCCATGGATTTGATGTATCTCTCTTGGATAGCTCTCACACTAACCATTTTTCTGTGCTGTGGAAACAGAATATATTAGTCTCTGAGGATTTTCACAATCTGCGAAGGGTGGTGTATTTTTCTTGTGATTCCTAAATTCATTCCTTTAAAACTGATGATATTGAGCTTTTTTCACTTAGTGTAAAGCTTAGAAGTCACACAGCAGACTTTCTAGTAGACAGTGAGATAGCTGCATATCACAGGCGGAAATGATTTAAGTATTTTCAAACACTTGAAGATATAGGCTGTAAAGTCGTATCCATGCCCTGGACTGTTTGATTATAATGTGCAAATGAAATTATTCAGTTTTTCTTTTTTGTTAACGGTATTAGGTATAAAACATAGGCCATTGATTTTGGTCCTTATTGCAAACTCTGTTCCCTTGCCACCAACTCTGTCTTTCTCCTGAGCAACTGTCTGATGCTGAACAAGACTGTGTAAAACCTTGGTATTGTATTTAGTCTTGAGATAGACTACTTGTACACGTTAACATCTTCATAAAGACTGTTCATTTCCATGTCTATAATATTGCCTGACTCAGCCCTTACTTCAGCTGGTCACTGCTGAAACTCTTGTCCATACTTATGGTACACGTAGACTTTATCATATCAACAGGGTAGAACAACATGGTGGTTCAGTGGTTAGCTCTGCTGCCTCACAACGCCAGGGACCCAGGTTTGATTCCACCCTTGGGCGACTGTCTGTGTGGAGTTTGCACATTCTCCCCGTGTCTGCGTGAGTTTCTTTCGGGTGCTCTTGTTTCCTTCCACAGTCCAAAGATGTGCAGGCAAGGTGGATTGGCCATGCTAAATTGCCCGAAGTATTCAGGGATGTGTAGATTAGGTGGGTTATAGGGGGATGGGCCTGGGTGGCATGCTCTGAGGGTCGATGTGAAGTTATTGGGCCAAAGGGCCTGTTTCACTCTGTAGGGATTCTGTGATGATGTATGATGATGAACTGGTTCTACCCACCAAAGTTTGAGGCCATTCAGAACTCTGCCTCAGTCTGAACTTGCATCAAGTCCCAATTGCTTATCTAACATCTGTTCTCTGACCCTAGTAGGATCTTAGTCAAACAACACTTCAATTTTAAAATCCTTGTCTTTGTTTTTGAATCCCTCCATAGTCTTTCCCCTCCGTTTCTGTAATTTTTTTCAATCTGCTAGCTCTGGCCTCATGAAATTTCTTATTTTATTCACTTCATGATTGGCAGCAGTCCTTTCAGCTGCCCAGGCTGTAAGCTCTGAGCCCACTTCCCCATCTGTCACCACCTCGCTATCTTTCTTTCCACTCTTGAGATTTTCCTTAAAATCTATTTCTTTGTTGAAACTTTTATTTACCTAACCTAGTATGTGCTCATCGTCAGATTTTGTTTAATTACTTTAAAAATGCTGCATAAATGCTAGATATTGTCTTTCAATAGTTTATGTAGGCAGACATAATCACTTACCACTTGCTGGACAGAAAAAAAAATGATGTGGAGGTGCTGCTGTTGGACCGTGGTAGACAAGGTCAAAAGTCACACGACACTAGGTTACAGTCCAACAGGTTTATTTGAAATCACAAGCTTTTGAAGCACTGCCCCTTTGTCAGGTGAAGTAAAGACAGCACCTAGGCACAGACTTTACATTCAGAGAGATCAAAAAATCATACAAATGGTGTGAGTGGAGTGTTGACAGGCCGCATAATAGGTCTCTGCAGGTGAACAAGAGTGTCCAATGGTGTGAGTAAAGTGTCAACAGCTGAATAAAAAGTGAAGGAATGACCTTTAATCCGAATAATTGATGCAGAGAGATAATTTAAAAAATTAAAAATAAGGTGGTGCTGGAGACAAACCAAATGACTGGAATAACATGCTAGGTGTAAGAGTTGCATGCTGAGGGTCTAACCAAAGTAATAAGTAACCCAAAACTGTACAAAGTAATTAAGATAGAGAGATTACAACAAATTATCAAGGTGATTGTGTCAAAATAGGACAGTAAGGGTGATTTTACAGAACAACTTGTTATGATCTGTCTGCCTTAATTAGTTTGTACAGTTTAGGATTACTTATTACTTTGATTAGACCCTCGGCATGCATCTCTTATACCTATCATGTTATTCCAGTCATTTGGTTTGCATCCAGCACCACATTCCTTTGAGTCAACACAATGTGGAGCTGGAGGAACACATCAGTCAGGCAGCATCAGAGGAACAGGAAAGCCGATGTTTCAGGTCGTGACCCTTCATCAGGACTGGGGAGGGGGAAGGGAGCTGGGAAATAAATAGAGGGAAGAGGGGTGGGGCTGGGGGAACTCTGCCAGGTGGGATGGCGATGGGTGGATGCAGGTAAGGGTAGTGGGGATTGGTCAGTGGGAATGGTGGGGCGGATAGATGGGAAAGAAGATGGACAGTTCGTGTCAGGTCAAGGAGCAGGGATGACAGGGAGGGTTGGACATGGGATGAGACTGGGGGTGGAGAGATTTTGAAACTGGTGAATTCTATGTTGAGGCCATAGGGCTGTAGGCTCCCGAGGCAGAACATGAGGTGTTGTTTGCATGTGGCATCATTGTGACATTGGAGAAGGCCCAGGATGGATTTGCCCCCTAGCGAGGGGGAGTTAAAATGGTTGGCAACTGGAAGGCGTTGTTGATCATACCGTACAGTACTGCACATGGTGTACAAATCGGTCCCTGAGTCTGCGCTTGGTCTCCCCGATGTAGAGGAGGCCACATTGGGAGTGATGGATATAGCAGACCAGGTTGGAAGATGTACAGGTGAAGCCCTGTCGGATATGGAAAGTTTGTCTAGGGTCTTGGATGGAGGTGAGAAGCGAGGTGTAGGGGCAGGTGTAGCACCTCCTGTGGTTGCAGGGAAAGGTGCCGTGATGTGGTGAAGTTGGTGGGGAATGTGGAGCAGATGAGGGAGTTGTGGAATGAGCGGTCCTAAGAAAGACTGATAGGGATGGGGAGAGAAATGTTTCTTTGATGGAGGAGTTGGATTACAGGTTGCAGAATGGCAGAGGATGATGTGCTGAATGTGGAAGTTGGTGGAATGATATGTGAGGTAGAGGGACTCTACCTTATTTTTGTTGGGGGGAGGGGATGTGAAGGCAGAAGTGCAGGAAATTCAAGAGATGTGGTTGAGGGCATTGTGGATCAACGGAGAGGGAAAGTTGCAGTCCTTGAAGTAGAAGGACATCTGGGATGACCAGGAGTGGAAGCTCCATCTTGGGAGCAGATGCAGTGGAGGCAGAGTGGTTGGGAGTAGAGGATTGCATTCTTGCAGGAGGATGGGTGAGACGAGGTGTAGTCCAGGTAGCTATGGGAGTAGGTGGGTTTGAAATAGATGTCGGTGCTGAGGTGGTTATCGGAGACTGAGATGGAGAGGTTCAGGAAGGGGAGGGAGGTATCGGAGATTGTCTAGGTGAATTTGAGGTTAGGTTGAGAGGTGTTTGTAAAGTTGATGAACTGTTCAAGCTCCTCATGAACATAAAGTCTGTGCCTGGGGGCTCGCTTCATTTCACCTGATGAAGGGGCAGCGCTTCAAAAGCTTGTGATTTCAAATAAATCTGTTGGACTCTCACTTGGTGTCGTGTGACTTTTGACCTAGAGAAAAAAAAGCTTGAATTTATGTGGAACGTTTCACAACTAAAGTGCATCTGAGAAGTTTTCCTGGTTTCACGTTTATCCGTTAATGCCATAAAATACAGATTATATGGTAATTACCTCATTGTGGTTTCTAGAACCTTGCTACATTTAAATTGCCTTCTGTGTTGAAGCAAGATCTAATGTAGACTGTTATAATGTAGACATTAACATTCTGAAGAAGATCTTGCATTTATATAGCATCTTCACAATTGTTGGCTCTTCCAAAACACTGTACATCTTATTGAGTACTTTTGAACTGTCACCATTGGTGTAAAACAGAGCAGCCAAGTCATACACTGCAAAATCCAACAAGCTACTAGCAATGTAACAACCCTCAGTATGATACTGCAATGCAGTTTGAACAATGCTTTCGAATTGAGTTTGAAACCTCAGCATCCTGATTCAAAGACAATGACCTCCTTATGAGATTTGAGGATGTGTAAGATGCCTTATAAATTTGAGCACTTTTTCTTTTTTCCCTTTAAATGATATATTGATTTAACACTTTCCATTGTGCCTAGTCTAATCTTCATGAGCTTAATGACAGATGCAAAAGGGACAACAGCTTAAAAAATAGTTGAATCTGGTATTCATCTGGCACCAGAGGGCAGGGAGTCAGTCTCTAAAAGCTTTAGTTTAGCATTTATTTTGCTCTTTGATGTTTAATAATTGCAACAAATCAGTTATGGAATGAGCAACATTTTGAGGGGTTGAGAGCTGAAATGCTTTACAAGACCCCGTCATGCAACTTAAATGTGAGGTGTTGGACAGTAACTTCCTTGTTATTGAGTAGTTTGGATATATCTTTCTCAGGCCACATTGGATAAATGTTGTGTCTGGTGGAAGATTTTGTTACTTACTTTGTGTTTAACAAGCATCTCACTTCTGATCAAAGAGGAATCGAGTTTAAAATTTGGCTTGGTGAAGTTTTTCAAGGTCAGGAATAAGAAGAGCTTTTGCCTTGGTTTTAGATTTCACACTTTAGCAATCACATGCCGTTCTGTGTAAATCCAGAGATGTTGGAAATAGGAGCTGAATATTTCTGTGATTGCAGTAGGTTGTTCACATCACAGCTGCTGAGGAAAGCAGGTCCCCAGTGTGGCAACGTCACTACATGCATGACAGAGCTCTTTACAAAGAAAAATGTCACCATATATTTGAGAGGACATTTTGATTTATGGGCAAAGTCACATTTTTGTTCCAAATTCTTTCCTGATCAGGTTTCTCTTGGGGATTGTCGAGACGAGACGCTGAAAACTTTGCCCTTACTGGCCCGCTGGTACCAACGTGTTCAGGAAGTATCTGGAGTGAAGAAGGCGGCTGCAAGCTGTGGCATTCATCTTCTCAACCTCTCTGCTCCTTTACCTTCCTCAAGTGCGGCAGTTTCGAGTTCCTGTAAACCTAAGAACGACAAGGATGAAACCACAGACATCTACTTCCGAGGTGGCCCAAGGCCCACCATGAATAAGCTAGAAGTAACTTAATATTTTTATAGTTTTAGCATTTCCTTGGCTTCATATTTCATGTTGAAGAGACAAAAAATTGCTACAATATTTATTACCTTGTAAACTCACCCTGTGTGAAAATATTCTTTTCATAATTACCTGACTGACATTGCAAACTTAATGTGGAATATTGGAAGGATTTGAGACAAGAATGATATTCTTCAATGATTAAGTCTGCAATGTTTTCTGTTTGAGAATGTAATGTTTTATAATTACAGAATACTAGAGTGTTTTCTTCAGGATTGGTAGACAAAGAGGTGGGTTATTAAAAGGCAAAAGGGAATGAGATGGTTTTGGCATATATTTCGAAACAGCAAGCAAATTTGTTGAAGCTCTGATGGAAGAATGGTGTAGCAGAAAGGGAACAGCCTATAGACCAGATTTAGAGGTCACAGGATCGAACATCTGGTAGGAGAGTATTGCCAAGACGGAGAGAAATGAGACTCTGGAGGGTTTTATAAAGGAGGGCAAGGATTTTGAGATTTTTACTGTCTTTCTGAAATATTTAATGAAGACATGGATGTAGAATCTGTAGGGCTTTGAATGAGTTGAATTCAGATGAAGCTGATGTATGGAGGCAGAGAAACAAGTGAGGATGAGGTTTGATTAGGAATTCAGTAGCAATGGGGGGAATAGATATTCACGTGGAAGCCGGAAGTTCTCTTGGATCAGTTCCTGCACCAGCTGAGGTTACTGTGTAGGACCCGCCTTCTCAACCTCTCCCCTTGCCTGAGGCATGGTAATCCTTGGGTTAAACACCACCAGACATCTCTCTGTCTGATGAGAGAGCCATTCTGTGGTGACTTTACCTTTTACAAGCTCAGTGCAACACACATTGAGTAAACAACTCAGTTTTGCTACAATGTGCTACCACATAAAATCTGAATAGGTGCCTGGGCAAGGTGACATAGCAAAAACAGTTGGCATATTGGACTGGAGCTGAAGATGATAGTTTTGTCTTTGTTTATTGCAGGAAATTTTCAGTTTATCAAGGGTTTGTCACATTGACAATTGGTAGCCTTGGGGAAGTGATGTAGTGATAATGTCACTGGACTAATAATCCAGAGGCCAATCCAAAAGAATGGTCTGGGAACACTTGTTCAAATCCTACAATGACCGGAGGTGGAATTTAAGTTCAATCAATAAATCTAGAATTGAAAGCCAGTATTGGTGACCATGAAATCACCTTGGCTTTTTTATAAAAACCCTTTTGGTTCACTGGCAACCTTTTAGGGAAGAAAACCTGCGCCCACTTACCTGGTTTGGCCTCCATCTGGCTGCAGACCCACTGTGATGTGGTTGATTCTTAGCTGCTCATTGCAGTGAATGAATAAGCTACCGTGTTTAAAGGCAATTAAGGGTAATGAATACTGACCCTGCCAGCAATGTCCACATCCCACTGAAGTATAAAGAACACTGATGAATGCTTCATTTAATGTGTTGAGTCTACAAGATCAGCCTATGCAGTAATCAACTGGTTTGCAGTCAATGTGCTGCATATACTGTTATATTAATTCTACTTTTGTGGAGGAATAGAACAGGTCAGCATCGTTATACTGATCAGAACTGACTTTGACACATGGATGATGTTCAAAAGCAGCTTGTAAATGTTGAGCAGCTGGGAGCCAAGGGCGGAACCATGTAGAGGTCAATTTGTGGGTGGAAGGAAAACACAGTTACGTCAATAGTTAATTTGTATTTGGCTTGCACAAAACTTGGGTTTTAAAAACTTTTAGGTGTTTGGGTAGAAAATGAAAGGAAGAATGGTGATTCACAGTGTTGAGTTCCTAGTGAAGAGTGAGTTTGAGGACAGGGTGATGTGGAAAAGTGTATTAGATTTTATCTGTCACTGAGAAGGAACAAAGAAGAGGAACTCCGTAGAAATGGACTAGTGATTAAAGTGGGGAATGTTATGGAAGCAATGGAGATGTAGTTGGAAAACTCTTGTCTGAAGATGCAGGGCAAAACATTATCAGGTTTTTGACTCCAAAAGTTGTATTGATTGAAGTCCTGATGAAGGGTCCTGACCTGAAACATCAACTTTCCTGCTCCTCTGATGCTGCCTGACCTGCTGTGTTCCTCCAGCTTCACACTGTATCGATTCTGACTTCCACATCTGCAGTTCTTGCTATCTCATAGATCAAAATACACTGTTTCAGCTGGTTAAGGAAGAAACAACATACTTAAAAACAGAATGCTCATATTTATGTTAGCACAACTGAAGGAAAGCGCAATATCATACAATATAATTGGATTAAAGTTGACATTTCTTCCCAGAAATCTTGACCAGTTGACAAATTTGATCAAAGTCTCTCAAATTAGTAGATTTTCAGTTATCATTTCAATGAAAACCTGAGAATGTGTGGAATTCTGAATGGGTCATAAACGTCAGAAGATATATAGTCTCAATGATTAAAATGCACAACAATTGTAACAATGTTTATCTGTGGTAATTATCAGAAACAAATTACAAAGAACAAAGAGACAAATAAAGTGTTTATTTTTTAGCATGTGCTTCTGAACTGTTGGTTGTTTTCACTTGTGCATCAACAAGACATTTTTATTGCTGTATCACATGTTTTGTTTTTAACTTTTTCAAATGTTCCACACCTGGCAGTGGTTATTTGATGTTACTGGAAGTACAGTGTTAACTCCCTTCATACCTCATTGTTTTCCAGTTCTCCCAAGCTAATTACCGTACTCACTCTTAAGGATTTGTAAACATCCCAAGCCCTTGAAAGAGGAATTTAACTCTGCTGAATATTTTCCATGTTAAACCCTTTAAGTTTAAGGCTTAAATTGCTGAAAGAAGTTGAACAGGAAGCTCCAGTGTCATGTACTTCAAACTAATTACTATTTTCTTTTTATATTGATTTATGGCACATGGTAGTTACCAGTCAGATTTATTGCTCATCCCTAATTGTGCTAGAGAGGGTGATGGTTGGTTGCCTTCTTGTACCGCTGCAATTCTTGGAATGTAGGGACACCTACAGAACTGATAGGGAGAGAGTTCCTGGATTTTGACCCAGCGGCAGTGAAGGAACGGTGGTATAGTTTCAAGTGAGGTGTTGTGTGGCTTGGAGGAGAACTTGCAGGTGATGATGTTCCCATGCATCTGTGTCCTTTTTCCAGGTGGTGAGTTTGCAAGTTTGGAAGGTCTTGTTTAGTGGAGTCTTAATAGGTTACTGCAATGCATCTTGTAGATGGTACACACTGCTGCCACTGTGCATTCGTGGTGAAGTGACTGATTGTTGGAGGTTGGATGCAGGCTGCTAATCAAGCAAGTAATGAATTAATTAACAACATCATTCAAGAATTTCTTCTACAAGAGTGATATCCCTAACAGTTTCTTAACTTTGAACTTCACTTTCCCAATCCTGATGTTCCATTCTTTCCTGACAGCACGCTATAACTCATGCCAAAATTATTTCTGTTGAGCTGTACATTTTAGAGGCCGAATAAAAGTGCTGATGAATGACACAGACACTCTGCTGACTCTGTAAGCTGAACTGCCACAGTAACCAGTTGGTCTTGCATCAATGTGCCTCCAGCTCTGCCCCATGGATGGGTTATTTAAGTTCAAGCGATAGTTTTAAACAGTGTCAATGACTTTGAGATCCTCTGGCTGTTTTACCAACAGGAAACCTCCTTTTCTGACAACTGGGTGGAGAGAGGCTGAGTGGCAACTTAGAAGAAATTGTTGATTAAACTTAAAATATTGGTGGTTGGAAAAATAGGGAGAGTGTTGAAAATTCCAGGGTGAAATGCTCTATTGACAGATCATTTACTCTTATAATGCTGAATGGAAATTCTTCTCTTTGTTTTCTTGAAATAACTTTGGAAATGAGAACCCTTTCTCGGAACACAGGACTAGGTTATTTAATCCCTTGATCCTGTTGTATCATTCAATGATATCTTGGCTGATCTATGACCTCGTTCTATTTACTGAAATCTGTAGTAAGTTTCTGAATGTCAGTCTTACCTATGTTGTAGCACTTTTACCTCATGAGTGTCAGGGTCATGGATTCAAGCCTTAGTGCAGGACTTGAGCACCAAACCTGGGCTGATGCTTCATGATAGAGTGTTTCATTGTCAGAAGTCTCTTGAAAAGTTGTTAAACCAATTCTGCATCGTTTCTATCAATGTAAAAGGTCCAGTTGGTGTTCTGGCCTAACATTTATCCCTCAAAAAACATCACTAAAACAGATTATCAGTCTTTATCTAGCTTGTACTTGTTTCCTTATGAAAAACGGACAAAAGTAGTACACTTCTCCCTTTGAGCCTGTTCCATCATTCAATAAGGTCATGGCTCATCTGATTTTAACCTCAACTCCACATTCCTGAAAATCCCTGATAATCTTTTCCCCCATCTTGGTAATTAAGAATCTATTTGGTTACTTGTGTGACGTAGTTCATTGTCCATAAGGTGCTTTAGGATTCCCTAAGATCATGAGAGGCACTAGATATAAATTATATTTCTTTCTTTTGAAGTGCAGGAACATGCCCCATTAAGATGAAGCTCATGAACTCGAAATGTGATATAGTCAGGCAACTGAACAGCTTGCTTTCAGAGTTCTCTTTACTGATTCTGGGTCGCTGATAACCACATTCATTGATTAAGTTTCAATCAGTTTCCAGTTGCAGTAGTCAGAGCCATAGAGTTCTGCAGCAGAAAAGACGATTCAGCCCATTATGTCTGTGTTGGTTACATATTAGCGTAATTTTAAAAAAAACTTTGTCTTCAAATATTGATCTAACGTTCTTGTAGAAGTTACAGTAGTCTTTGTAAAGTAGTAATATTGAGTAGTGATGTAGTGTAAAATAACTAAGAAATGTCTCCTGTCTACAAATAGGAGAATGGAATTTCCGCAAATTTCACATCACATCCGTATCCGTCGTGGAGCCTGGACTGGGGAAACCTTCCAGTAGCTGTAAACCCCATAGAAGGCAAGAATATTCTTTGTGCTTCTCTTTTTGCTTTGACAATATTTGGCCCCAATATAACCTTGTTGTTCCATGGACCTTTCTTGTGTCCAGGTCATGTCGTGCTATTATTGAAGTCTGTCACTGTTGCTGACCTCTTCAAAGACTCAGATCTTTTATGTAAGAGTTGCTCTGTTAACAACCATTGAGGTGAGGTTTTTCACATTTTATTAAGCCGCCATTGACTTTGAAATAATATTTTTAAAATCAGTGCAACTTTCTGATCTCCTCCAAAATCCATTGTCTGCTGTCTGCATCTTGTGCAGGTGCAGGATTGATTTGGCTTTTTTTGGTCAATCCAGATTTAGATGCTCTCTTACTGTTGCAGCATTACTGTACATTTTCCACATCTGTCCCAGTCTAATAGGGTTGTTACCTATTATTTGAAGGGCTAAGCACCCAACCAGGAGTAGCTCCTCTTGATACATTTTATAATCTATGCATACTTTTTAATGTGCCTTTAATGCAGGTAACTATTTACATAAACATGATGGAGTTATTCTAGCATTTTACATAGCTTCATACTCAAAACTTATAAGAATTGGCAGGAACAAAAGTTTTTAAGACAAATCTTCAGTAATAGTTACTGCAGATTTCGTTTACATTATATTGACTTTATAATGTGATATAAATTACAAATAAGATTTAGTACATAACCTTGTGAAAGATGTAAAAAACTTCTGCCAATACGTTCTGATTTTCTATGTTTTCCATAAAATGAACTTTTTCCATGCTTTAACACTGATGATGTTAATTATTGAAAAAATGTAGAAGTATTGTGGATTGCAATAGTACACTGGCAAATTTCTTGCAACCAGTATGTCAAGGACAGCACGTAAAGTCAGTCTTTACTTGGTTTTATTCACGAAGTGAAACAGTACAAGTATTTTGCTCCTAACTCTACAGTATCATTTAACTCATCAATATTAATAAGTATTTCTCTGTACTCTTTTGAGTATCAAATCGAACAAATTAATGAATGATCAAATGATTCAGGCCTTTAAGATGTACAAGTCTTTATATGTGTTTATCTGACACATGCCCTTCCACCTGTAGACACTTAACCTTTACTTGTGCAATTAATGTATACAGTGTCTGGTTTTGGGGGTCTTGTGCCACAGTTATAGTGTCCCTATCTCTGGGCCAAAAGATCCAAGTGTGCCTTCCATGTCTAAACAGATTGATTAAAAACAAACTTTTCTTCATACAACTTTCACTAACATTCATAGCTGTTGAACCTCCCTGTCGTGATAAATGATGCGCCTATATTTCTTGGGAATAAACAACCTTCTAGTGCAATTGCGTTAATGTGGTTTCCAATGGTTTTTGTTATTAGATACTGGAAAAGAAAATCGGATTTTCTACTTTTCCCCCACTCCACCGCGCCCCCACCCAACTTTTTTGCAAAGAGAAGTTGCACTTTTGAATAATGTCATGAAACCTCAACTTTTAAATATTAATCAAATCCCCCTAGCCTATTTTCCTGTGACTAGTGGACCTGACATTATCGAAAGCCAGCAGTTAAAACGCTAGCAGGTGTAAATGAGTCAGAGATGTAGTGGGAGTGTCCAGTCATCATTTTGAAACAGCATGTCATTCCATTGCCGCAGCAATAAAATCACCCTGAGAATGCTAACTTATGTAGTGCAGTTCACTCAGCCTCATTTTTAATCTGATAAAAGGTTAAATGATTTGCTTGTATTTCATTTTTGGAGGCTTCTCTGATTTATACTTCTATGATTGCCACATAACTCAGCCAGTTGTACACCCTGAGGAATGGCTCATTTACGGTGGGTCTTTGACCCATTGACCTGTACAGCTATTTTACTGCTATAGTTGGATTCCACTGAGAAGCATTCATGCTTTGTGCTTGGACACAAGTAACCTGCTGCTCTTGCTGTAGGCACTGATCTCATCTGAGAGAAAAAGTCTCATCCTTACCTTAAAATTTGACTTCACCTGCTACCTCTTTGATTCCGCACTATGTGTGGCCAACAGGTTCTTGAACAAGAGGTGAGGGGACGGGGAGTGGTGGGGTGCAGAGGAGGAGGGTGTTCCTGAATATTAATTGATGGTTATTGGTTTAGATTATACTGTGACATCCATAAAGGGCACAGGGAGAAGCCATTGATGAGCAGGAGGAGACATCTGACAGACGTCATCTTCGCCATTACTTGCCCTGTCTTTGAAAGTGCTGAGTGGTATTGAGGCAATTAGAGGCTGAGCATGTCCAAATTGCAAGCAAACTTTAGATTCCCTGAACAGAGCTGGCAGCAGAAAACCATCTGAATTGTCGTAACATCTGTCCCACCCAACTGCTTAGATCTGTTTCTTTAATCTAGGTCGTTGACTTTCTGATTTTCTTTTGATTTACTCATGGAATGTGGGCATCGCTGGTCAGCCAGCATTTATTGCCATCTCGAGTTGCCCTTGAGCTGGTGCTAGTGAGCTGTCGTCTTAAACTGCTGCCACCCTTATCCGCTCTGGTCTACATATGACTGAAGTCCTGTAGCACTGTGGTTGACTCTTAACTGCACTCTGAAATAGCCCAACTAAGTCATGCAGTTCAAGGGAAATCAGGGATGGGCAACAAACGCTGGCCAAGGCAGTAACACCCACCATCCCATGAAAAAATAAAGAAAATGCCTACTCTTTTGCAAAGATGGGCACTGTAGATTCTCGTCCATACCTGCTGTTTCCATGGAGTCACGCACAATTTGATGGGAGGCATAGTTCATGTCACCTCAATGTGGTTGCGAACCATGGAGGATCCCTGGGGTTGGAGTTCAAAAGTTGTTGCCAACTTCTTATGTCAGAATGTAATGCTGCATGATATATTTCTGTAGCATGGCACATTATAAATAGCATGGTTTGGCACTGAACGCTGGAGATGGGATTGTAACTTGGGAAATTATCCAATTTGTGATCTCTACCTTGAATGTTAAAGCCCACATCATAGTCTTTCTATTTCTAGATTTGTCACTCTGATGACTAGACTAATAATCTGGAGATTTATTTTCAAATCCCAGTTTGAGAACTTAAATACACTTTTATTTTAAAATCTGGAAACAAAAAGCTGATACAAGTAAAAGCTACCCGCAAAACTGTTGTATTATCTTAAAAATCCAGCGTGTTCCCTAATATTCCTTTTAAGGAAGGAAACGTGCAGTGTTTCCCTGGTGTGATCTATTTTGGACTTAATTACTTCCTTAAGCAAATCATTCAATGGTATGAACTGGTAGTTGGTGATGGGCAACCATCCCTGCCTGTGATGCCACACTCCAAGAATTAGTTTAAAAATGTATTTTAAAAATAAAGATTCAGCTCTTACATACCGTTAAAAAATAAATGCAGTGTGCATACACTTTGCCGTCCCACAGTAAGAAACATTATTGCAAGGACTGTGAGCTTTCAACATATTCAGGGACCTACTGATAACTTTCTTCCTCCCTGCTTCAATAAGTTCAAGGGTATTCTAAATGAAAATAAGAAGAAAATGCCGTTGATTCAGTTGTTGAGAAAAAAAATCATTATTTTATACAAAGAATATTTTAAGTGCGTTCTTATATGAAAGAGATAGGCAGGTCTGAATATTCATTTTCATCTAAGCAAAGTGGTTAGGACTGCTGCCTCACAGTGCCAGGGACTCTGGTTAAATTCCACCCTCAAGCGACTCTCTGTGTGGAGTTTGCGCATTCTCCCCGTGTCAGCGAGGGTTTCCTTCAGGTGTCCCAGTTTCCTCCCACAGTCCAAAGATGTGCAGGTTATGTGGATTGACCATATTAAATGGCCCATAATGTCCAGGGATATCCTGGCTGGGTGGATTAGCCATAGGAAATGCAGGGTTACAGGGATAGGGTAGGGGGTGGGTCTGGTTGGGATGCTGTGTGGAGGGTCGGTGTGGACTTGATAGGTCTGCTTTCATATTGTAGGGATTCTATGCTTCTATGAAGATCCTTTTTTGAACCAGTTTTAAAATGTATTTTGAAATCTGTGACTGTACGTGCTCAAATTTTCTGCTAACTTCCTTGTTTTACTGTGGTGACAAAGACCTTACTTATTCAGGATGGACTAAAATGTTTAACATTCATTGACACGTAAAGGAAAAGAATGGCCTTGCCAAACCCCTGCCTCTGTGGACATCTTAATGCTTCATTCTCTTGAGGTCATGTACTCGCACACCACCCTTAAGTATGTTTTCGCCTTTTGGCCTGATATTCATTTGTTAAATGTCAGTGATCTGCAGAGTGCTTGTGGCGTTTGAAGCAAGAATCCAGTAAACCTGTTGTGCTGTACTTGCAGGTCAAACTTCACATTCACTTGTAAAATGCATTGATTGAGTTACATATATAGAACAGAAGTACATCAATGACCTGCAGTTTCCTGTTGGTCTGACCATTTGTAGCTGTGGCCTTGTTCCTTGAAGTGATGTCCTATACATCGCAATAGTAGATAAACAGAGCATTCATTGGGGAACTGTGGACTCCAGAATTAATTCTCTGTATTATTAAGAACTCAATTCTTGAGCGGCAGATTGATGAAAGAGCTGTGAAATCCATTTGCATAATTACTATAAACCTTTATTTCATAGTTAACCCCATTTAGTATTCTATTAAAGCACAGCTAAACATGTTTTATAAAGTAAGCAACTGAGTAATACTTCATAATGTGGACTTTGCTTTTGACTTGTGTGAAGTCAAAGAAAAAACATTTTCAAGGTGATAGTTCAGTTCCAGAATACAAATTCAGTTAATGGTAGCTTGCGCCCTGCCTTGTGTAAGGCCATCAGTCTGGAGTTTCATTCTTTTCATTTATTATTGATGTGTTAAAGTTATGTTAAGATTAATAATGAATGCAATTTTTGTCATTAAATGTAATTAAATTGATGGTAGATGATGTCTAAGATGTCTGGGAGAATTTTGAATGGAGCTTTTAGGCACTGAGAACACAGATGAAAGATTAAT